AAGTATACTTGGGGATTGGCGATTTTTTCGCCCTCATAAGAAAAAAAACACATGAGGTATAAGGAACCAAGACCAAAATAAAGATGGTCTGCATAGAGTCACTTAGTCTTATGTGGGTGGGTGGTTTTTTTGGTTTTTAATGTTTTTTGATACCTACTTCCACAACAGCAGCCAAACAACAGTCAATGACAAATTAACATTTTTTTGTGGGTGGGCCCTTTTTGCAGGATGAAGTAATTAGTCTTTGAGTTAGAAGGGCCTTTGGGGTTTATCTAGTCTAACCTATACCTGACCAGTAGGGCTATCTTCAATATCCCCCTCGAGTGATTTTCAGCTTTGACTTGAACTCTTTCTGTTTTGCCAGCTCTCTGAGGCTAAGTTACAGATGAGCTGCTATTCTGCATTCGTAAAAGGCATTTCTACAGCAGAATTTCCGAGCACCAATGAAATCATAAGTCTTAACACCTCCTTCCCTCCCTCAAATAAGAAAACAATAGCAACAACAAAAACTACTACCCAATCAGCTCAGTTGTTTCCTTTTCAAATATTTTTCAGCTATCGTGAGGGATGTTGTGAGAATGAATAAAAAAAAGAACAAAAAAAAAACTGTTACAGCTTTATCTATGTAACTGCTACAAAATGTTACCCAGAACATCTTGCAACATTTAACAGAATGATTACAAAGTAATAATTCTTGGCTTGTATTTATTGTTCTGCCTATTATATGAACTTGAAGGCAAGTGCCTTTGTACCTGAAACTCTGAACCAGTAGGTTGTCTTCTCCAGGAAATGAAATTGTCACTAGATTTCTCTTTGTCCCTCTGTGTTTACTCACTTTTAATTTGTTCCCTTTTAATCTGTAGGAAAGGGACAAAGTGATGCCCCTAATTATACAGGGTTTTAAAGATGCTGCAGAAGAAGCAGGAACATCTGTAACTGGTGGCCAAACAGTGTTGAATCCCTGGATCGTGTTGGGTGGAGTGGCTACAACAGTCTGTCAGCCCAATGAGTTTATCATGTAAGTTAACTTTTTTGGCAGTCCTGAACTTTTTTTTCTTTTTTAATTTTTGAAAATATTTATTTTTAGTTTTCAACATTCACCTTTACAAGATTTTGAGTTTTAAATTTTCTCCCCCTCCTTCCCTTCCCCCCTCCCCAAGATGGTATGCAATGTGATATAGGCTATACATGTTTAATCATATTAAACATATTTCCATGTTGGTCATATTGTAAAGAAGAATTAGAACCAAAGGGAAAAACCACAAGAAAGAAAAAACAAACAAAAAAAAGGAAAAGTAACGTGCTTCAATCTGTGTTTAGACTCCATAGTTCTTTCTCCGGATATGGATAGCATTTTCCATCGTGAGTCTTTTGGAATTGTCTTAGATGGTCATTGCTGAGAAGAGCTGGTCATCACACAGTGTTACTGTTAATATATACAAAGTTTTCCTGGTTCTGCTCACTACACTTAGCATCAGTTCATGCAAGTCTTCCCAGGTTTTTCTGAAATATACTTGCTTATCATTTCTTATGGAACAGTAGTATTCCATTATATTCATATACCACAGTTTGTTCAGCCATCAATTGGTGGGCATCCCCTCAATTTCCAATTCTTGGCCACCCTGAAAAGAGCTGCTATAAATATTTTGTACATATGGGTCCTTTTCCCATTTTTATGATCTCTTTGGGATACAGACCTAAAAATGGTATTGCTGGATCAAAGGGTATACATAGTTTTATAGCCCTTTGGGCATAGTTCCAAATTGCTCTCCAGAATGGTTGGATCAATTTACAACTCCACCAACAATGCATTAGTGTTCCAGTTTTCCCAAATCTTCTCCAATACTGATCATTTTCCTGTTTTGTCATGTTAGTCATGTTAGTCAATCTGATAGGTATGATGTGATAGGGTTGTTTTAATTTTCATTTCTCTAAGTCCTGAGCGTTAATCAAGAATTGTCTTCTAATACCAAATCTCACTTGGCATGTTTGTTATTCTTTGTTAGCAGAACTTACTTTGCCCCTTTTCCAGAAGGAATAGAAACTCTTCTTTTTTGGGAGACGGGGCTTCTTTTTTAAAAATTAATTAATTTATTTTTAGTTTTCAATAATTACTTTTGTAAGCTTTTGAGTTTTAAATTTTCTTCCCCTCCCTCCCCATCTCCCTCCCCAAGACAGTGTGCAATCTGAATATAGGTTCTACATATACATTCCTTTTAAACATATTTTTGCATTAGTCATGTTGTAAAGAAGAATTAGGACCGATAGAAGGAAACACAAGAAAGAAGAAACAAAACAGAAGAGAAAAAAAAGAGCAAATAGTATGCTTTGATCTGCATTCAAACTCCATAGTTCTTTCTCAGGATGTGGATAGCATTTTCCTTCGTGAGACTTTGGAGATTGTCTTAGATCCTTGCATTGCTGAGAAGAGCTAGGTCTATCAAAGTCAGTCATCACACAGTGTGGCTGTTACTATGTATAATGTTGCCCTGGTTCTGCTCATTTCACTCAGCATCAGTTCATATAAGTCTTTCCAGGTTTTTCTGAAGTCAGCCTGTTCATCATTTCTTATAGCACAATAGTATTCCATTACATTCATATACTACAACTTGTTCAGCTGTTCCCCAGTTGATAGGCATCCTCTCAATTTCCAATTCTTTGACACCACAGAAAGAACTGCTACAAATGTTTGTGTACATGTGGGTCCTTTTCCCATTTTTATAATCTCTTTGGGATACAGACCTAGAAGTGCTATTGCTGGGTTAAAGGGCATGCACATTTCTGTAGCCCTTTGGGCATAGTTCCAAATTGCTCTCCACAATGGTTAGATCACTTCACAACTCTACCAACAATACATTAATGTTCCAATTTTCCCACATCTCCAACTTTTATCGTAGAAGCTCTTCTTAGGACCATTGTTTAATACCTTTCCTAATACAGGATTTATCTTTGTTTTTATGTCAAAACTTATTTTTATGCTTTTCATGATCTATATTTGTTTAAAATGAGTGTCACAGAAGACTTTTCTTTTGTAACTTTAAAAAATATATGCCTGAATAGGCAAATGTTGGTTTGCCATCAAAACAGATTGTTGGTTTGATTTTAGAATATGTTATCAAGTAATAATAGTCAAAAGGTATTTTGCCGTAGCAGTTAATTCTCATGGCCAACTCTCCTGGTGACCATCAAGAATAATAGAGAGCAAATCAAGCCAAACAACAAGCATTTATTAATCAACTACTAGTACAGTGGCAGACACTCTACTAAGCACTGGGGATATTAAAAAAAAAAGGCCAAAAAACAGTCCCTGCTGTCAAGTAACTCATAGTCTAATGGGGAAGACAACTTGAAAACAACTATGTACAAACAATAATTACAGAATAAACCTGGAATGAAGGCACTAGCATTAAGTATGGGGGCGGGTGGGTGTCAAGAAAAACTTTTTTCTTTTTGGCTAAGCAATGGGGTTCAGTGACTTGCCCAAGGTCACACAGCTAATAAGTGTTATGTGTCTGAGTCCAGATTTGAACTCAGGTCCTCCTGAATCCAGGGCCGGTGCTCTGTCTACTGTGCCACCTAGCTGCCCCCAAGAAAGACTTCTTATAAAAGATGAGATTTTAGCTGGGACCTGGAAGAATCCAAAAGGCAGAGATGAAGAACTAGAGAATCCCAGGCATGGGGGACAGTAAAAATTCATGGAGTCAGGAAATGGAATGTCTTATATGAGGAGCAACCCAGTGTCACTGATTGATAGAGAATATGGAGGGAAGGCAGGTATAAGAAGACTGGAAAGGACAGAAAGGGGCCAGGTTATGAAGGGCTTTAAGAGCCAAACAGAAGATTTCATATTTGATCCTGAAGGTAATAGGGAGCCACTGGAATTTGTTGAATAGAGGTAGGAAGACATGGTGACATGGTCAGATCTGTGCTTTAGGAATATCACTTTGAGTGGAGGATGAACTGGAGTGGGGAGAAACTTGATGGCTACTGCAAAGGCCTCTACTGGGGTATTGTACTTTTATTTATGTTGTTCCATTTCCCAATAATATTTTAATCCGACTCAACCAGTGTGGGCCATGAATCTGACACCTCTGGTATACAGTATTTTTTGAAGCATTAAAATTCATAATGAACTGAGGCTGCCTATGAATGCTGGAGACAATCTATTCTTCTTCATCCTGTCTGATTCCTGTCCATAATTCTCCATAAATCTTTCATAGAGGATTTATCCATTCATTCGAAGTCTTCCTTTTGTTCTTTGAGTATCTTAAGGGAGTTTAATAGACTACTCAGTCTGATTCTCTATTCTGTCATTAATGCATGACTGATCCACCTTCCCTCCTGGTCATGCATGTTCTTAATCCAGTCTTTGTGCTACTTCTCAAATGCAGGTTGTCACTGTTAACACGCTACTGCTGCTTACACACATACCATGCATATTTTCATTGACCTTTGAATTAGATATAATCTTAGTTCTTAGTTTATAGTGTTCTGTAATTCATAGCCATATATTATCAATAAAATTCTCCCTAAATGCACTGAATTTTATATGGCTACACAGATATATCAGGACTGAGGGAATACATCTGATCTGAGAAAATTTTTTAAAGAAAACTGCCCATTCCCCTCTCCCTAACCCTAAATCTGAATTAATTTGAATAAGATCTCGTGGTCATTTTTCACATTTATTAATGAAAAAATAGCCTTTTGTGTTGTGCCACTAAGGGCTCAGAACTAAGTGATTTATTTTCTTCTTATATAAACCTAGCCAGATGTGAAGTACCTGTTTTCTCAGTGGATGATTGGCCTTTGTTTAGATGCTTGTCATATTCTGAATCATCAACTCCTAATTTGCATCAAGTTGCAAATGTAGATGGTTTAAAAAATTTTTAGGGGGAAAAGGTACATACATATATATGTGTATATGTATATATATATATATTTATACACACATACATATATAATGTGTAAAAAATGTGTTTGTAATAATATTTCCCATCGTGTGTGTATGTGTGTACACCCATATATACGTTTAATTGGAATTGAACTTTTTAGTGATTTAACTTTTTTTTTTTCTTTAGGCCTGATAATGCGGTGCCAGGAGATGTGCTTGTGTTGACAAAACCCCTGGGAACACAAGTAGCTGTAGCTGTGCATCAGTGGCTGGATATTGTAAGTAAACTACCAGATGTATGTATATACAAGAATTCTTGTGGTTTTATAAAAAATTAAAATATAAGCGTGATATATGGGATCAGGGTAAGTTAGGTGAAGATGCTTGTAAAATAATTTGAATAAGTATATCGGTGAGACTCTTACTGTAATTGTATATGTAAATATTGCTTTATTTCCCATATATTACATTGTGTTTATACATAGATGCATCTATAGTTATTTAAATGGATTCTGATTCCTTTCTGTAAGATAACAGATTTTGGAGATGAGGGAAAAAAACGCTCTGTAGGGCAAGTACTTCCCATAGTATTCATTTCAGCTTTCAGCAAGTCTTCTAAATCTCATCTGTTTGTTTTACTCACAGAAATTATAATATAGGTTAAGCCCTGTTAAAACAAACTCTTAGAAATTTTGCATATTCTTTCATTCCATTAGAGTGTTGCTGTGTCAGCTATTGTTTTAAATAGACATACCATAGTCAAAGGTTTGAAAAAAAATTTTTTTTAAAGTAGAGAAGGGGTGTGTGTGTGTGTGTGTGTGTGTGTGTGTGTGTGTGTGTGTGTGTGTGT